GGCAAGGTGGCTCATGCTTGTAATTCCAGCACTTTGGGAGGCTGAGGCAGGCAGATTACGAAGTCAGGCGTTCAAGACCAGGCTGGCCAACATGGTGAAACCCCATCTCTGCTAAAAATACAAAAGTAGCCAGGAGTGATGGTGGGCACCTGTAATCCCAGCTACTTGGGGAGGCTGAGGCAGGAGAATTGCATGAAACTGGAAGGCGGAGGTTGCAGTGAGCCGAGATCATGCCACTGCACTCCAGACTGGGCAAAAGAGCAAAACTTCGTCTCAAAAAAATAATAATAAAATAATAATCTAGGAACCTATAAATATCACAATATGCATAGTCCCTAGTGTAGTAAACTGGCCTACTGTGACCTTCCATTAAAGTATTTGTCTTTAAGGTCTTACACTTCTTCTTGGGGCCATACTTGGTCTTACCATTCCATACTGCCAGTTTCCCAAACGACTCCAAGCAGCGAAAACTTCTCACTATAATTCTATTCCCACCATGCCTGTCGTCCTTCCAAGACAGTGCTCCTATACTCTACACCTCTTCTAATCACAGCCAGTAAATAAAAACTTAACTCTCCTGGCCAGGCCTGTAATCCCAGCACTTTGGGAGGCGCCAAGGCAGACGGATCATTTGAGGTCAAGAGTTCGAGACCAATCTGATCAACATGGTGAAACCCCTTCTCCAAAATTAGAAAGTTAACCAGGCATGTGGCAGGCTCCTGTAATCCCAGCTATTTGGAAGGCCGGGGCAGGAGAATGGCTTGAACCCAGGAGGCAGAGGTTGCAGTTAGCCGAGATCACGCCACTGCACTCCAGGCTAGGCAACAAGAGTGAAACTCCTCAGTCTCAAAAAAAAACCTTTACTATGTCTCGTTATCTCTGAACCCTCATCCTGTGTGTGGTATCAGTAAGCTTATGTCATCGTCAATCTGTGCTAATACTGTCAATAAAAGACAATTTTAAAAGTTTCTCTTCCAGAGAATTTGTGATTTTTAAACAGGACATTTACAAAAACACTGGAGAGATATAAATAAAGTTAGGTATTGGCAATTCTCAAATTTTACCACACAATCAACTACCTAATCTACCTATTTCTAATGTAGGTCCAATTACAATTTAATATAGTTTAAACTAAAAAATTAATGTAGTCATAGAAGCACTAATGAATATGCTTCCTGGCAAATGCCAATTAAGTGAAATCTAAAGCTGCAATTAAACAGTTTTAACCTAGGTTCCATATGTGTTAAGTCTCCCTATCTTCAAAGTAGCAAATGCGCTGGGTGCAAGGGCTCTTGCCTGTAAGTCCAGCACTTTGGGAGGTTAGGGAGGGAGAACCATTTGAGACTAGGAATTTGAGACCAGTCTGGGCAACACAGAGAGACCTCCATCTCTATTTAATTAAAAAAAAAAAAAAAAAAAAAAAAAAAAAAAAAAAAAGTGGGAGGGCACTGTGGCTCACGCCTGTAATCCCAGCACTTTGGGAGGCCAAGGCAGACAGATAGATCACTAGATCAGGAGTTCAAGACCAGCCTGGTCAACATGGTGAAACCTCGTCTCTACTAAAAATACAAAAATTAGCCAGGCCTGGTAGCATGCACCTGTAATCCCAGCTACTTGGGAGGCTGAGGCAGGAGAATCAATTGTACCCAGGAGGCAGAGAGGGTGCAGCGAGCTGGACCGTGCCACTGCACTCCAGCCTGGGCGACAGTGAGACTCCATCTCTCTCTCTCTCTCTCTCTCTCTCTCTCACACACACACACACACACACACACACACAAAAGTGGGCTGGGCACTGTGCCTCATGCCTGTAGTCCCAGCACTTTGGGAGGCCAAGGTGGGCGGATCACCTGAGGTCAGGAGTTTGAAACCAGCGTGACCAACATGGTGAATCCCGTGTCTACTAAAAATACAAAATTAGCTGGGAGTGGTGGCACATGCCTGTAATCCCAGCTACTCAGGAGGCTGAGGCAGGAGAATTGCTTGAACCCAGGAGGCGGAGGTTGCAGTGAGTCAAGATTGGGCCATTGCACTCCAGCCTGGGCAACAAGAGTGAAACTCCATCTCAAAAAATAAAATAAAATAAAAAATTAGCTGGGTGTGATGGCACACACCTGTAGTCCCAGCTACTCGGGAAGCTGAGGCAGGAAAGTCATTTGAACCTGGGAGGTAGAGGTACCAGTGAGCCAAGATCACGCCATTGCATGCCAGCCTGGGCAACAAGAAGGAAACTCCCTCCAAAAAAAAAAAAAAAAGCAGCAAATGACAGACCCCCTGTGGCCAATTTACTTAAAACGGTCAGGTATTTTTAACCTACCTTTAACCAAAAAAACTACTTAGAGCACACCACAAATAAACTCTCAGCACACTTGATATTTGTGACTTAAAAGTGTCTTTTCTATGTTATGCTTTCACAACTTGGTAAACTACAATTAGATATTGCTTTTTAAAAATTCTGGCAAACCATTTTATTCATTACCTCATTAATCCAAAGCATAGACCCCATGACTAGGATAAATTAATACCATTTTGGAGTCAGCTTGGTGGCTCACATCCATCTTCCCAGCACTTTGGGAGGCCAAGGCAGGACTGCTTGCAGCTAGGAGTTGCAAGCCAGCCTGAGCCACATAGCAAGACCTCATCTCTACAAAAAAATTAAAAAATTAGCCAGGTGTAGTGGCATGTGCCTGATGTCCCAGCTACTTGGGAGGCTGAGGCATGAGGAATGCATAGGCCCAAGAGTTCAAGGTTGCAGTGAGCTATGATCACACCACTGCACTCCAACCTGGGCCACAGAGAGACCTTATCTCTAAAAAATAAAAATAAATTAATGCCATTTTACTCAATTGACATTAAAACCTATAGTTGTAAATCTAGAATGTATTACATCCTTTGTGAACAACAGGTTCAAGTTTGTTTAACCAGAATTAGACAGATTCTGTTATATAATCTCATAAAACACCAATTAACCAGAAATCACAAACTTGAGATCAGCTAGATGAATCTGGGAAAGATAAGACTTCCCCAATTCTTAATTTCTTAACAGTGGGAAAACAGTACATTACTAGCTCAAGTTAAATGCACAAGAGATACTATGTAGAATGGAATATTGTGAAACATACAAATCTTGATAATCTTATGCAATCCTATTTAGACTTTCTATATAGCTACAAGTCCACAAAAGTTAAGGACTATGCCATTTACAGCTTTTACATTCTTTCAACTCTGAGAAAAGCATTAAAAGAGTGCAAGTACTGAATGCATATAGTACTAAACAATTTGGGAAAACTCTTGAAAACAAAGTCGACAATGCTCACTCAGCTAGCTGTACACTAAATTTTCTAAAAACATTAACGCTAATAACTACCCAAAAAGGTCATTAAAATACACAGAAAGCCTATACTAGACCAATGATTTTAGATTCCTTTAAGTTACACATCTGGCTCCATTTTTAAAATAAATTGGTTCAGCAAGCAGTTAACATGCCTGCACCTCCACTGTTCTATTGGCTCTAGGAAAGTATGAAGTTCAACTCAATCCTAAAAAAACTCCTTCACATAAGAGCTACGTTTTGCCTTGACTTTCTTTATGACCTTGGGCAAAGTCTACCAAATGAAGACTATAATAATGCTTGTGTGTTCCAGTTTATTATTGAAAATTAACCATAATATCTTTCGAGCAATAGTGAAATTCTCTAAATTCGACCTATCCAGAGCTGAAAACTTGAGTTACAAATATCAACTGATATGCAATGTGAACAGTTTTAAAAATTTTAATTTGATTAGTAAAAACAAAACAAAAAAAAAACTACAAAGATCCCAAATTCAACATGATTAAAGAATTCTGAAAACACCAACAACCTCCTTATTACTTCTCTTTATGAACAACTGGTCTGCAATGTAACTAAAAAAAAAAAAAAAAAGGCAAAAGAAAAACAGTAAAACCATCTTTAATATGCCATTTTCCTTTTCTAAGAATAACAAATGGACCACAAAACTTAGCAAATAACGGGGAGACAAAATAAAGCAATCTACAATCTAAAAATTACAGATAAATCCATCATTTCAAGTTACTAATTTGTAAACCTACATAAGAAATTAATCTCGGTACTGCGTTACCAGCATTAAAAAGATAAATCCCTGCCTCAGAGGAACATCTACTGAGTACGTTTCATTTCCGGATCTCAGATAAGTATACGAGTTGTATCTCTAGGTTTCCCTAAGGTACTCGGCTGTTTAACATCATTCACACATCCAGCCACCACTAGGGTGAAAAGTAAATAAACAAGATTTACTTATGCAATTATTTACCACAGAATTCTGGTCAAGAATGCAAAAGTTAACACTCATACAGGCATTTAAAACCCAAAGAAAGCAGGGAATATTAAGGATAATAAGATTTACCCTTTAATTGACCACCGTAGAAACCAGAGGCCTTCCACATGGGCTGTTCCTTACTAGCACTCTCGATTTGAAAAAGTAACAATGTCAACTCGACATTTTAACAGTACAAAAGATAAACAAAATTTAGGCAAATCGCTTCTTCCAGATTTTGAAAAGGTGTTTACAAGAACTGAGATAGAGCAACGCCCCCCTAAAAGCACCCTTCTCCAAAGAATGAAATGCCGAAAACATCAGGTGGGCCAAAAAGCTTAGAAAAGCTAAAGTTCTAACTTAATTACCCAGAGGTTGGGGACTAGGAACGGGAGCTCGGAGTGGGGGTGGGTAGCAGAGTGAAATCTAACCCCAGAAATCACAACGCAGGCCGCAGCCTAGGAGGTGAAGCTGGCGGGAAGCGAGCTCCCTTTCCGTTCCCAGGGGAAAGTCCAGAGAGGAGCGGCTCCCCACAGTGGACGTACGAGGCGCCAAGAGTGCATGCCTACCAAGGCGCCAGAGCCGCTGGAGGACCGGGTTTGGAAGGGGAGGAGATCCCGGCAGACGGCGCTGGAAGAAGAGGAGGACTAAGATTGGGAGCAGCGGCAGCGTCTAGACGAAGGGGATTACCTAACTGTGACGACAGAGAAGTGTCCTCAGGCTCCGGCGATGGTCTCGACTGCGCAACGTGTGGTGTCTTTCCCGCTTACCCCCGCAGCAGCAACAGAACCAGCTCCTTCAGCCAGTCGCCATTTCCCGCCTACCGACCTGCTGCACCGCACGGACAGAGACCCGGATGGAAAGCGGCCTCTATGCGCAGGCGCCCTGACTTCCTCCTCCCCCTCCCGCCACAATTCCGCGAGGTGGGAGGGAAGGAATGCGGGTGGCCACAACGGCAACAACAACCAAAAAAACACTTTTACTTCCGTGAAGAGCGTTGAAGTTCCTTACGCCGGAGGGAACTCTCTAGTCTGAATCCCGGAGAAATATTGAACACAAGGCCATGAGACTGCGTAGAGTAAGAAAGGACAAAACCTATTAGGACACGCAAGGGCCTGGGGGATATTTGTACGTTAGGGGCCTCCGTAGCCGGCTGTTTAGTGGTCGCAGGGGGAGTAGGGAGTAAAGCGTTAGGAGTGGAGAGGCGGGGACCCGAAGGACGGTTTTTCCTCCCGCTATTAACGGAACTGCTGGGGCCGACTTAGGAGGGGGAGCGCGCCCTTGCTCCGGAGGCGGGGCTTACGAATGCGTCGCGCACCCTGGCGGCTAGGGTTTAGTGACTGTGGGCGCGCCGGGTGGGTGGAGCCGAGGATATAAGGCGGGACTAACGGCTCGGCGCGCTGGAGGAGGTAGTTTGTAGGGAGCATTACCCGAGGCCGGGAGAAAGCGAATCTGGCGCCTTTACTGGGATCTCGGTGGCCCCCGAAGGTTACCTTTCCATTTCATTGTCTGGAGGGCGTAGCAGTCGCTTTTGGATCAGTCATAAATACTCACTTCCTTCAACTCAATCCTATGTTGGCGGTAATTCTACACGTTGAATACTCAGCTCTTAGCCGGGCACGGTGGCTCACGCCTGTAATCCCAGCCCTTTGGGAGGCCGAGGCGGGTGGATTACGAGGTCAGGAGTTCGAGACCAGCCTGGTCAATTTGTTAAAACTCCGTTTCTACTAAAATACAAAATTAGCCGGGCGTGGTGGCGCATGCTTGTAATCCCAAATACTCGCTTGAACCTGGGAGGCGTAGGTTGCAGTGAGCCGAGATCACGTCACTGCACTCCAGCCTGGGTGACAAAGCGAGACTGTCTCAAAAAAAAAAAAGGATGAAGAATTTTTAGATGTAAAGCAGTGGCCACAGGAAAAAAAAAAAAATGTAATAAATGCAAAAACCTATTAAGAGGTATCTTTGCATGCTTTTTAAGAGGTGGAGTCAAGCTCTATTGGCCAGGCGGCCCAGGCTGGACTCAAACTCCTGGACTCAAGTGATCATCTCACCTCAGCCTCTTCAGTAGCTGGAACTACAGGAACATGCCATCACAACCAGCTCGAATGCTTTTTAAACTATTCAAAACTACTGCTATATGAAGACACTAATGAAATAGAGTGTTCATTAAGTAATGTAATAGGTCAGGTATGGTGGCTCATGCCTGTAATCCCAGCACTTTGGGAGGCTGAGGAGGGCAGATCACCAGAGGTCAAGAGCTGAGACCAGACTGGCCAACATGGTGAAACCTCATCTCTATTAAAAATACAAAATATGGCCGGGCGCGGTGGCTCACGCCTGTAATCCCAGCACTTTGGGAGGCCGAGGCGGGTGGATCACGAGGTCAAGAGATCGAGACCATCCTGGTCAACATGGTGAAACCCCGTCTCTACTAAAAATACAAAAATTAGCTGGGCATGGTGGCACGTGCCTGTAGTCCCAGCTACTAGGGAGGCTGAGGCAGGAGAATTGCCTGAACCCAGGAGGCAGAGGTTGCAGTGAGCTGAGATCGCGCCATTGCACTCCAGCCTGGGTAACAAGAGCGAAACTCCGTCTCAAAAAAAAAAAAAAAAAAATACAAAATTAGCCGGGTGTGGTGGTATGCACCTGTAATCTCAGCTACTCAGGAGTCTGAGGCAGGAGACTCACTTGAACGTGGGATGCGGAGGTTGCAGTGGATGGAGATCATGCCACTGCACTCCAGCCTGGGCAACAGAGAGAAACTCCATCTCAAAAAAAAAAAAAAAGGAATATAGCTGGGCGAGGTGGCTCACACCTGTAATCCCAGCACTTTGGGAGGCCAAGGCGGGTAGATAGATCATGAGGTCAGGAGTTTGAGACGAGCCTGACCAACATGGTGAAAACCCATTTCTACTGAAGAAATAAAAAATAGACAGGCGTGGTGACACGTGCCTATAGTCCCAGATACTCGAGAGGCTGAGGCAGAAGAATCACTTGAACCCAGGACTTGAAGGTTGCAGTGAGCGGAGATCGCACCACTGCAGCCTGGGCGGCAGAGAGAGACTATCTCAAAAAAAAAATTAATAATAAAAAAATAAATATCAGAACAGTTACTTTGCCCTACTGTTGCAATTACTTGATGGCAGTGGTCATCTGAAACTTAGTATGTTCAAAACTAAACTTTTAATTTTCTCTCAAATCCGCACCTCTTTAAGTATTCCTACTGAATGCAGTTTTTATTTGTCACACCCAATGGCCAATTTTAAAGTACAATAAACTTTCAAAATACATTCTGAATCTAAACATTTCTCACCACCTCAACTGCTTTCCTAGTTGAAGAACCATCGTCTTTAACTTGGAATGTTGTAGCAGCCTTTAAAGCCTTCCGGTTTCACTCTGGAACCCCTTCAATCTTTTCAACAGAGCACCCAGTTTTTTTTTGTTTTTTTTTTTTTTTTTTTTTTTTGAGACGGAGTTTCGCTCTTGTTACCCAGGCTGGAGTGCAGTGGCGCGATCTCGGCTCACCACAACCTCCGCCTCCTGGGTTCAGGCAATTCTCCTGCCTCAGCCTCCTGAGTAGCTGGGATTACAGGCACGCGCCACCATGCCCAGCCAATTTTTTGTATTTTTAGTAGAGACGGGGTTTCACCATGTTGACCAGGATGGTCTCGATCTCTTGACCTCGTGATCCACCCGCCTCGGCCTCCCAAAGTGCTGGGATTACAGGCTTGAGCCACCACGCCCGGCCTCCAGTTTTGTTTTTGTTCTGAAACAGAATCTTGCTCTGTATCCCAGGCTGGAGTGCAGTAGCACAATCTAGGCTCATTGCAACCTTCACCTCCTAGGTTCAAGCGACTCACCTGCCTCAGCCTCTCAAGTAGGTGGGATTACAGCTGTGCACCACCACAACTGACTAATTTTTGTTTTTTTAAGGTGGAGTCTTGCTCTTGTTGCCTAGGCTGGAGTGCAATGGCGAGATTTTAGATCACTGCAACCTCTGCCTCCTCGGTTCAAGATTCTCTTGCCTCAGTCTCCTGAGTAGATGGGTTTACAGGTGCCTGCCACCACACCCAGCTAATTTTTGTTTTTGTTTTTGTTTTTTCTTGAGATGGAGTTTCACACTGTCACCTAGGCTGTAGTGCAGTGGCGCAATAGCTCACTGCAGTCTCTGCCTCCTGGGTTCAAGCAATTCTCTTGCCTCAGCCTCCCAAGTAGCTAGGACTACAGGCCACCACGCCCAGCTAATTTTTTTATATTTTTAGTAGAGATGGGGTTTCACCATGTTGGCCAGGCTGGTCTTGTATTCCTTACCTCAGGTGACACCTGCCTCAGCCTCCCAAAGTGCTGAGATTATAGATGTGAGCCCCAACTCCCGGCTTAATTTTTGTATTTTTTAGTAGAGTTGGGTTTCGTTATGTTGGCCAGCCTAGTCTCAAACTCCTGGCCTCAAGTGAGCTGCCCACCTCAGCCTCCCAAAGTGCTATGATTACAGGCATGAGCCACCATGCCTAGCCAGCCAGTTATCATTTTAAAAAAAATTTGGCTGGGCATGGCCTCCACCTCTAGTAAAACTACAAAAATTATTCAGGCAAAGTGGCAGGCTCCTGTAATCCCTGCTACTCAGGAGGCTGAGGCAGGAGAGTCATCAGAACCCAGGAGGCAGGTGTTGCAGTGAGCCGAGATCATGCCATTGCACTCCAGCCTGGGCTACAGAGCAAGACTTCGTCTCAAACAAAAAAAAAATTTTTTGGCAAATTTTCCATCACTCTTAAACCTAAACTCTTCACTATGACATGGAGGTCCCTTTATTAGCTCTCTCTTTTTCAGTGACCACTTTCCCAACTTCTTGCTCTGTATTCTCCAGTCATACTGGCCTACTAACTGTTCTTTGAAAAAAATGCATTCCTCCATCAAAGGCTCTAGATTTGTTGTTTTCTCTGCCTCCATTTGCCAAGTGTGACTTAAGGAATTTCATTTTCAATTCCATTTTAATTAAATTTAAAAATACGTTGCTGCTTAATGGGTACAGGGTTCCCAGTAAGGGGAAAGTTGAAACGTTTGGGTACCTGAAAAGTTCTGGAACTAGATAGCTGTGATGGTTGCACAACATTGTGAGTGTATTTAATGCCACTGAATGATATGCTTTAAATATAAATGTATATCAGTAAATTTTATGTATATAAAAAATTGCTACTTGGTATTTACCCAAATGAGTTGAAAACAGATCCACACAAAAACCTGCACTCAAATGTTTATAGCAGCTTTTTTCATAGTTACCAAAACTTGGAGGAACCAAAATGTCCTTCAATAAGTTAATAGATAAATAAACTGGTGCATTCATACAATGAAATATTATTTAGCTAAAAAGATACAAGTTATCAACCCATGAAAAGACATGGGGGAATATTAAGTGTATATTACTAACTGAAAAAACCCAATCTGAAAACGCTATGTATTATGTGATTCCTACTATATGACATTCTGGAAAAGACAAAACTATAGAGATAGTTAAAAAAAAAAAAAAAAAAAAAGTCAGTGGTGGTCAGGGATTTACGGATCACAAAGGAGGAATAGGGGATTTTTAGGGCAATGAAAATATTCTACATGATACTAGAATGGTGGATAAATATCATTACACATTTATCCAAACCTAGAGAATGTAATTCAAAGAATGAATCCTCATGGGAACCATGGACTTTGGTTAATCATGATGTATCAATGTTGGCTCATCGGCTGTAATGTTCTACACTAGTTCAGAATGTTGATGGTACTTAAAGGGTGTGTGTGTGTGTGTGTGTGTGTGTGTGTGTGTGTGTGTGAAGGGATGGTATGTGGAAACTCTATTTTCTACGCTATTTTTTTTTG